TCGCGAAGCGAACCCTTTTCTTCGCCTTTGCGGCCTTCTTTGGTGGGGAAGACTGGGGACTTACCTGGGATTGATGACGATGATGATTACGTTGACTTATTGCCTGTTCTGGCAAAGAAACACCTAGCAAGAGTTAGTCTTTGTTCCGAAAGCCTAGGTATTCGACAAAGAAATGAGAAATGAGAAATGAGAGATGGCAGGTAAAAAGACGAAGAGATGAAGATATGAAGATATGAAGATATGAAGATATGAAGATATGAAGATATGAAGAGATGAAGAGATGAAGAGATGAAGAGTAGCAAAGAGGATCACTACCTACCATGATGACTAGAACCATCAGGATTGATGTCAGTTTCTCGCCAGATCTTCGGTCGCATTGGCTGGTAATCAATTTCGTCATCCATCTGGAAAGGCGATTCCCAGATAGGTGGCTCGTTGATATAATAGATTATCCCGCCAAGAATGGCGACAATAAGTTGGTAGATGAAGAAAACGAAGTTGCCGATTTTGTTGAACATTGCGACGGACTCTGACCAAAAGTTAGCTAAGATAATTAGGGATAAGAATTACTTACCAAAGTAATCACTAATGGAGTCGATGGAGATGGAGATTGAGATTGAGATGGAGATGTAAGCGGGTAGTGTGCCAAGCTATGATAAGAGTAAGGGAAATGGTAATGAGTTATGAGTTATGGTTTATGGGTTATGGGTTATGGGTTATGGGTTATGGGTTATGGGTAATTGTGAGAATGTGGAAGAGCACAAGGAGAAAAGGAGCGGTTTGCAGAGGAATGGAGAAGTTATACAAGAGGAATCTCCTTAGCTCGAATAATGTTGGAGGAAGGGACTTACCGGAGCGTTAATTGACAGGTGATGATTTAGGAAGGATGTATGGTGAAATTTGACACTGTTATTGATTATATCTAGTAACACTACCAAAGCTCTTCGCTATCATCATCATCATCATCATCCAATGGGGGCAAGAAGCATGGAGAATAGAGTTTTACAAGTTGCAACCAGTCGATGAAATGAAATAGTAATAACAAAAAAAACAATTTCCGGCTTGAAAACCAGACATTGAGGGTCTCGACTGCTACTTCTATATTATTTTAGTCTTTGGAGACTAATGTCTTGGGATCGAGACTTCCCTCGAACAAAATTAAAGTTCTCATACTCGAAACGCGACTTCCTCGAACGTTGTGGCTGTCCTGGAGAGAGTAGGCTAAGGGCACTTTATTTCGCCTCAACCACAAATGAAATCCATGTATGACAGGTCCGACCAAGGACTTTTTTGTCGTAAACAAACTTGTTACTCAGATACTAGCAATACACCTTCCCGAATCAATACCTGTCAATCAACGCTCCGGTAAGTCCCTTCCTCCAACATTATTCGAGCTGAGGAGATTCCTCTTGTATAACTTCTCCATTCCTCTGCAAACCGCTCCTTTTCTCCTTGTGCTCTTCCACATTCTCACAATTACCCATAACCCATAAACCATAACTCATAACTCATAACTCATTACCATTTCCCTTACTCTTATCATAGCTTGGCATACTACCCGCTTACATCTCCATCTCAATCTCAATCTCCATCTCCATCGACTCCATTAGTGATTACTTTGGTAAGTAATTCTTATCCCTAATTATCTTAGCTAACTTTTGGTCAGAGTCCGTCGCAATGTTCAACAAAATCGGCAACTTCGTTTTCTTCATCTACCAACTTATTGTCGCCATTCTTGGCGGGATAATCTATTATATCAACGAGCCACCTATCTGGGAATCGCCTTTCCAGATGGATGACGAAATTGATTACCAGCCAATGCGACCGAAGATCTGGCGAGAAACTGACATCAATCCTGATGGTTCTAGTCATCATGGTAGGTAGTGATCCTCTTTGCTACTCTTCATCTCTTCATATCTTCATCTCTTCATATCTTCATATCTTCATATCTTCATATCTTCATATCTTCATATCTTCATATCTTCATATCTTCATATCTTCATATCTTCATATCTTCATATCTTCATATCTTCATATCTTCATATCTTCATATCTTCATATCTTCATATCTTCATATCTTCATATCTTCATATCTTCATATCTTCATATCTTCATATCTTCATATCTTCATATCTTCATCTCTTCGTCTTTTCACCTGCCATCTCTCATTTCTCATTTCTCATTTCTTTGTCGAATACCTAGGCTTTCGGAACAAAGACTAACTCTTGCTAGGTGTTTCTTTGCCAGAACAGGCAATAAGTCAACGTAATCATCATCGTCATCAATCCCAGGTAAGTCCCCAGTCTTCCCCACCAAAGAAGGCCGCAAAGGCGAAGAAAAGGGTTCGCTTCGCGAGCCCTGAACGTCAGCCTAGTCCAGGCCCAGGTGATTTCCACAGCCCGTCTTCTCAGCCCAGAGCTCCACGGCTGAGACTTCGGGCTGGACCCAATTACCCTCGAAAGTCTTCTCGAGTGAGAGACCTCGAGGAGAAAAACCTCACTGGCTTGATGACTCCTCGTGGGCATTGTGCAAGATGTGCGAGGCATATGCGACCACATTCGCATTTTGTCCTGCATCGTGCCTTTACCTAGAGGTTGTAGCGGCCCTCTTATTAGATCAGCTTACTTGTACTGTGTAGACGACCTTCTGTGTTAGGTCTGATTAGGACACAGGTCTCTCATATTTGAGAGGCGCCCGTCGATAGTCCTGCGCGTTCTCGTCGCGACGGGTGTTAATAGTTTGTCACTATTACCAGCAACAAACGAACTAAGACAGGACATGCTATTTGTAGGCAGTCAACTTTTTAGGTGTCAATTTTGAGGAGTTTAAATTTTGTACGGTATCTCTTTGCACGAGAGGGTTGAGGCATGTGTTATCATTTTTAGGGTCGAATTACAGTGATGAAAGTTGTCTGGCTAATATTTTAGAAAATGAAATACCATCCTTTTCATAATATTTGATGATTAATTTATGTTGTGCGAGTTAGAAATGATCAAATGATGTGAATGGACTGTCATGAAAGTGTGTCTTGATTTACTGAACGTTAAAAATTATAATAAATCTGATATTATAAGCATTGTATTAAGATGCACGTTTGCTGTTTTTGTATAAATCTGAACTGAATACCAGAGAAGTCGATATTGTGTTAATACTGCGAGGTTTATTAAAGAGGAAACTCCCCGGTGAATGTTAAATTTTACCGATGTAGAGGAGTCCAGAAGGTGTACAAAATTATTGGCTTAATCAGGCATGTTCTCATGGGTTGAGGATTTTGGTTCCACTTCTTGATACATGCTACGGGCTAGGCCTGGTTGGTTATTGTTGGGCTGTTTAAGGCCATAGGACCTTTTCTCTTTTTTTTTTAAATCATTTAATATGTATTCATCTATAGAGCTATGACACATGACCGGTGCTATCTATACATATAGGATGACTCTTTTGGCGTTAGAGACACTCATACCCTGGATTTCATTTGTAAACACCACTTCGATGTATGTTCGCTTACACAAACAGGCGACCCTCCTCCGTAAGTACCCACCAAACGGAAGGTTCAAAACCTTTGGTTATCCAAGCATGCCTTCGTCCTCCGCGTATACCTGCGCCGCGAGTAATGTGGTTGTGTTTTGCCGGATTTGAACTAGCTATCTTTTCCCCTATTTGGGATAAAACTCGATCAAAACAATCTTTGCCGGGCAGACCGGCTAAGATAATGTACCTCCGCACCATGCAACTATGGCGACTTTTATGGTGTGGCCCGAACATCAGGCTCAGACTTTTTAGGAAATAAATTACACATTGTAAAACTTACAGAGATTTTCGTGTGAATGTCACGTGAATATTCAAAAGATTAAAGCCAAGTCAAGAATGAGTGATTCATGATCCGTGCTGCGAGTACTGTAATATCTTTTTCCACTCTATAGATGGCCCTTGAGCGTCGTTACTGATCTGACATGCTTGCGCGCAGATTGTGCTTCCTCTTTTGGACTGGATCCAGACTTATGCAATCATAAGCCTGCTTATTTATATCATTGGATAAAACTGGTATTGTCGGAAGGTCATAAAATTGGCTACATAGCCTTGCGCCGGGGTCCTCAGCGAGTCTGCACGTTGAAAGTTTCGTTTTTGTAATCCTCGGGCTCTCATACGCAGTTAACGACGAAGTGTTAGAGCTAATTCTGTTGCCACATTTTCAGCGGGGATCCAAGGTCTGTTAACCTTCACAACGGAATTCCCCCTTTGAGTCACTGAATTACTGATTTCTTCACAGGTTGGATTTAATTGGATAGTTTGATACTTAATTTGTGTTCACTCTTAATGTATCATAAAAAAAGATGTAATGGTCATATGCTTACAGGCAAAAGATACTGGCGCCTAGGGTAGAAATTTCCATCTTGTCTTCCTAGATTCCATTTATTTCCTCCCATTGCACATAAATCTGATGGTTAAAATCAGTTTATGATCTGGATCTATCAGTAATTGATTAGTTGTTGCTTTAAAATTCAATATGCTCTCAGTACTCAAGGTAGTAAATAATTTTATCATTATTTAACGTCGTCCTAAAGGTACTAAATAATTGATTCTGGAAGCGAATATTAGGATGCTTGCCATCATGTGGCAGATATTTGGCTCCAAACTCAGAAAACGAAAAATGATTCTTAGCAACAGAAAGGGCTTTCATCTAAATCACAAGAGAACATAACATCTCGATGAATTTTACTGAGGGATATATCTTCGACCCAATGCCATTCATAAGAAATTAATTCAGAAAAAGGATAAACAAAAGTTACCGTATGATAATATTACGTCACTTCTAGCCGAGTGGGGCAAATTATATTAAAAGTCGCTTGCCCCTCATCTCTATAATTGAAGGGCCTTTACGCTACTTGCAAACTTGCCCCTTTCACTCACTCTTCGAATCACGCCAAAGATATTTTAACAGGATACAAATACGCTACTATTGTCATTAAATTTACTCTGTCAAGAAATAAATCACGACTAAAATGGTATCAAACAGGAAAACAGGTAAAGTTTCACACATACAAAAATTATTTATCTGACATCTGTTAAAAGCTATCATTTCAGTCTACGATAAAACTGGTCTCTTAGATTTGGCGAAAGGGTTGATACAACAAGATGTCCGTCTCCTTGCTTCTGGTGGCACTGCTAGAATGATTCGAGAGTCTGGATTTGCTGTAGAGTAAGTAAATAAATACTTTAAACGATATCATTGATTCGTGATTTATTTTTTAACAATATCTATCATAGAGATATCTCTGCCATAACCCACGCACCAGAAATGCTCGCAGGGAGGGTCAAGACGCTTCATCCTGCCGTTCATGCTGGAATATTAGCTCGTGATTTGGCCTCTGATGAGAAAGATCTCGCAGAACAGAACATCAACAAGGTTGACTATGTCATCTGCAGCTTATATCCTTTCAAAGATACCATTGCAAAAGTCAATGTGACGATGTCAGAAGCAATTGAAGAAATAGACGTTGGTGGAGTAACCTTAATTAGAGCGGCGGCGAAAAACCACGGGCGCGTTGTCATCTTAACTGATCCCAATGATTATGCTGGATTTCTCCAGGAACTAAAAACAGGAGAAATTTCAAGTGAAAGTCGAAATCTGTACGCTCTAAAGGCGTTTGAGCACACTGCCGATTATGATGCCTCTATTTCAGATTTCTTTAGGAAACAATATGCAAGTAATGGAGTTCAGCAGCTAGAACTTCGTTATGGAGCCAACCCACATCAGAAACCTGCTGCAGCATTCACTAAACTTGGATCTATGCCCTTCAAAGTCCTCAGTGGATCACCCGGATATATAAACTTACTAGATGCTCTTCATGGTTGGCCTCTTGTTAAGGAGCTTAAGGCAGCTCTTGGATTTGCAGCTGCAGCCAGCTTCAAACACGTCTCACCAGCTGGTGCAGCTATAGGTGTTCCACTAACACCTGAAGAATGTAAAGTCTACATGGTTGAAGATATCGAGGGACTCGGTGAGTCTCAGTTAGCTCAAGCATACGCTCGTGCCCGCGGTGCCGATCGCATGAGCAGCTTTGGTGACATGATTGCTTTGAGTGATATTGTAGATGTTCCAACGGCAAGAATCATTTCGAAGGAGGTTTCAGATGGTGTGATAGCTCCTGGATTTGAGGATGCTGCTCTCGAGATTTTAAAGAGGAAGAAGGGAGGAAGGTATCTAGTTCTCCAGATCGATCCGGATTACACACCTGCCCCCCAGGATTCACGAACAGTTTTTGGAATCACCTTGACGCAGCATCGAAACGACATAGAAATTTCTAAAAAATCTTTTAACTCTATAATTACACCCAAGGATGCGGGACCATTGCCCGATACAGCGTTGAGGGACTTGACTGTGGCTACAATTTCTTTGAAATATACACAAAGTAATTCCGTATGTTACGCCCTCAACGGACAAGTTATAGGACTTGGTGCTGGACAACAGTCACGAATTCACTGTACTCGTCTAGCGGGCGATAAAGCTGACAACTGGTGGCTTCGATTCAACCCAAGGGTTCTCAGTATCTCGTGGAAAAAGGGGGTTAAGCGAGCTGACAAGAGTAACGCGATTGACCTGCTTGTAAGTGGGGAGCTGCCTAAAGATGGACCTGAACGCGAAGATTTCAACTCGGTGTTCAATGAAATCCCAGCTGAGTTCACCGACGAGGAACGGAATTCGTGGCTTAAGAATTTAAATGACGTAGCTGTCTCGAGTGATGCATTTGTAAGTTGTCTGTTATGAATTCTTTCTGTTTTACTAAAATATCGACAGTTTCCATTTACTGATAATATCTATCGTGCTGGGAGATCTGGTGCAAAATATATTGCCGCGCCAACTGGTAGTCAGAATGACAGCGCTGTATTTGAGATAGCTGAGGAGCTGGGTATCACGTTTGTAGAACAAAGTATTCGCCTATTTCATCATTAACTTAGGTATTCTTATTCTAATGACTGGAAACATACCCTTACAGCTCAGGCAATAAGGCCTCCATCTTCTTCCTTAGCAAACCCGAATCTTTTTGCTTTCGCAGTCGTATGACTCAAAAAATAGGTAATGGTGCAACTAGGTTCTAGGGTCAAGCAATTTTATTTTCAGCGATCTTGATTTAGATATCCTGTACAAAAGTCTTAATTTGATTATTTTGCCTTATTAATATTGATGGTAAAGTGACTTGTATGGACTTGAAATTAATTTTACTATTAACAAGACAGGTACCAGTCCTGCACTCATATGAGCATGACGCAATGTTAAAAAGTATGAAAATATCGGTAAAAGTTTAAGCACTTAGGTAATGATCCGTATCTACTGATATTAGTTCCTTCCTAAGTATATATTTGTACCCCAAACCCATCCGTATATGCCCGACCAAAGTAGAGGCAAGAACAAAATCTAGCCTGTACTCGGATGCAAAATCAGGGTTTTCTGGTCTTATTTTGCATCATTTAAGTGTATGCCACTGTCTAGATATAACACTTGGTCAGTTCTGTGTGTACATATTGAATGATTCTTTTGAATTCAGAGACACTCAATCTCTAGATTTCATGTGCATTATTACTATGAGGTATGATCATTTATACTAATCAGTCGACTCTCCACAGTGAGTGCCCACCAAAGGTAAGATTCATAACCTTTGGTTATTGTTGGAAATTCTGATTCTAGAATTTAGGACCCACTCATTATCTCTTTCGTCTGAAGTTCCCGGCAAGATCGACACTCTATATATGTTTCTCGGGTGTACCAAGCGCAACTGCTTTTGCACTTACGTTTGGATATTTACGCACTGCAGTCGACCTTGACTCATCATGTTAGATGAGAGGTGGTTGGGTTTTAATAAATTTGAAAGGCACCTAAGAATAGCGAGGATGTCGAACCTTTTGAGTTGATTCGGAGGCTTTAATGATTAGGGACGGAGGTATCGGGAAGAAAAGCTCACACAGGAGCTTTCAATTGAAGTGTGTATAATAAGATATAATAGTCTATCTGCCCCTCCTTCCTATATTCTCTTACATATATTCTAGCGTACCTAATTTTAATATCTCACAAGGGCTGATGATATCTATGAATAGCTTTCTAATAGAACAAGGCAAAATCCAAAAATATTGTAGCCTAGTTAGAATAGCTAAAACAAGCCAAAAATAGTTTCAAATGTTTGTAATGAAGAGAGCCAGTATTTTATAGCTGGAAATCAATCAAAACGTCAAGGTTTTCGCGATGCAGCTACAAAGTGAATCAATTGCCAGTTTGGCATGCTATTCTAACAATTATGTCGTAATCATGTTTGATGAATATAATTTAAATGAATCACGAGACCAGGAGTAAGAAATATAGATGTCGTGTAGTTTTCTCCTTGTTTCATTGTGGATTTACCCCACAGATGTATATATAAGTATTGAAGGAGATATGGTTAGAAGACTGTACTGCTGGTAAATGCCTGAAGCTTATGATGTATAATATTATACTACGAAGTTCTACACCTACGATACACTCTATAGACCCTAGTTTAGACCAGCTTACAAATCAAGTCACATGTATTCTAGGGCTCAGTGACTGATACTTCAACAATAAGTCCAATTTCCCCATAGTTCAGACATATCAAGTCTTCTTTGTTTCATCGTGTGTCATCCATGTAATTTCGTACCGAGTATGTTTTCCATCAATTAGTCATGCATAACTTCGTCATCTATGCGCACTAGCACCGCGAGAAATGTGGCCGAGTTTTACTGGACTCGAACCAGCGATCTCATATCTCAGGTAGAATTTATGTTGAAGCTGTCTAGACTTTACTTGGTAGAACAATCAGGACGGTGTATCACTGCGCCATCCAACCTTAATCGCATTTATTGTTTCGCCTGTATCTTTTTTTTTTTTTTTTTTTTGCATCAGATTTTAATTGCGTATGCAGCTATCTAGCTATGACACAATATCAAAGAAAAGTCTAGAATAAATGATTCAATTTAAAAGTAGAGCACTCATGCCTCGGATTTCATTTGCAAGTACCACTGCGAAGTTATGGTGGCTTTTTCTTCACCTCAAGTCAACCCTGATCCGTGAATATCCACCCAGGGGAACCTCTCAAAAACCCTGAGTTATCCAGACATGCCTCCGTCATCCATCAACTTTTCTCCGCGCGAAATGTAATCTGAGATACCCCTTTCCCAAGTGGAGTAGTTGCCCAGGCTACTTAGACTATACCAGAGAACACCACCAGGAGGCTGACCACTGCACCTTCCATCGTTTGCTTATTTTTATAGTGTCAGCTGCACTCTCGCAAGCGAAGTCTTGGCGCGCACAAAGCTCAATTCGTAAAACTCTTGCCAAAATTCAAAATTCCACGCCCGTCGAAAACGTATCCCTCTTCTGCATCATCTTGTGAACTTGTCCTGATCCCTCTCACGTCCATCCCAAAGAGCTATCTCCCAGATTTGTGCTCCACGCTTTGCTTCCTCCGTCGGGTATAAATATCGGCGTGGGCGTGTATTTGGTGACCGGCTGAGGCCAGAGAAAGTCGACGAGAGGTGTGGTCATTGAAACGAGGATGTACTAGGTCGTACTTGAAGACTTGATGAAGCTTAGTTGAGAATCGGGCTCTTTGGGAGTGAAAGATTGACATGGTGGAGTAATTTGAATTTTTGCCTCGTGGGCCAACTTCTTTGATATTGCGAAATTTGACTGAACTTGGCTCTGGGAGAATATTTCACTCCCAGGTTCGTAGAGGACACCGCGTACAGGTGTTCAGTCTTGCCCTCCTTCGCCTGTATCTGCCTTGAGGAAAATCATATTTCGACACGTCAATAATATAGTCCCTTCTTACCCTTAATTCTAGGCTGAGGCTGGGCCAACAAGGAAGATAATTGAAAAGATAGTGAATGTTATGGCCAGGCATCCTTGAGGAGGTTTCAAGGAGAAGGTTCTCAGGAAAAGGTGATATGAGAAGGTTTTAAGAAAGGTTTTGGGAAATGGTTTACTGAGAAGCTTTCCGGGAAAACTCCGACAGTTAGAGATGGAGGGGCTGGCGTCATGACGGCATTTGTCATAGTCTTAGTTGAGTTCAAGTACTGTCTCGAGCTAGACATAAGGAAGCTGGAGCTGCCACATAGTAGCTCTCCAGCTTCTCAATCTTCCATTCTTTTGATCTTTGATCTCGCAATCTAGCATTTACATAATATTATAATCTTACATTCTCACAGTCCGATATTCTCAGTCTTTCGTTATTCGTACATTCTTCGTACTTCTGTTCACCCTGAGTTATCAGCCTCGATCGCCTGCTCCTCAACTCGACTTCTTGGCTTCGTGTCTTTCGACTATTCTGTAGTTCTACAAACTTTGACTACCTGGCACCTCGCCAATCGAATCATATCTAAGTATCCTTCGTTAGCAACTATAATCCTCACAGTTATTAACACCTTACCTTCGGCAGACGGCGATCCCCAGTTTCCTTAGCGCACGCCGTAACAGTGAAACCCCTCAGAAGTATCCAAAGAAAATGGTTAAAGCTTGTTGCAGATGCCTAAAATTCTACTAGCAGCAGAGTGCTAGAGTACGAATCGTCCGTTCTCCCTATGGAAATATGCCTGAAGCGAAAGAGGGCTCAAAACGCCGAGCTATCAGCTACACTTCCTGTTCAACAGACAATAAGATCGACATATAAGAGAATAAAGCTGCCAGTAAACGGTAGAGAGATTCCGCATGTCTTGAACAGGAGTGAAGATATCGCCAAATGAACAAGGGTTTGAAAAAGGGAAAAGGACAGGTGGAGGCAGAAAGAATCTGGAAAGATAGCAGCCTTCCAACAGTGGAAGAATTCATGGAAAATCCAAAACAGGGAACAGCACATTGACCGACCAGCATCAGCCGATCCAGAAGATTGGAAAGCAGCAAATATATTTATTGATACACAAACAGGCAGTAGAAAAATGACCTTCAAAGATACATCCTTAAACATCCACCGTTACCTAACAAGTGCCAAAAGCAGTATCGTCGTTCAGCTGAGAAGCAAGCATATCGGACTCATTTCTTACCTGTACAGAAGGAAAGTATCCGGAGTAGAAAATCCAGGCTGTCAATGTGGATATCCGTCACAAAACTTCAAGCATATAGTATTGGCATTTCATGGATAAACGTAGTGGAAGTAGTATGGTGTCTCATGGGGAGTTCCATTCCAAAACACAACTCGGGGCTAGTCGAGTTCCCAAAAAATTAGGACGGACTCAGGAACATAGGGTCGCTTCAAAGGGATTGCGTAGTAATACTGTTCGAGACAGAGCTTAGGGCTATCATATTATCCGATGTACATATATACCCAGCGTGAAGTAGTATTCTTCTTCACGCAACGTCTCCTGTTTATACTCATACATATTGTTCACGTAATTATCTATTCTCTAAAGAAGACCGCCGTTATTGTACCCACCTCACCTATTACTCACTTTACCTTTACCTTTACCTCTTCCGTGAACCCTATCTCTTACGCTGACTTTATACCTCCTCCTCATAGGAATCACCACTTTACTTCACGTCAATACCCAAATTGTACCCTACTCGTACCCTACGGAATACCAATAACACAGTGCCTTGAGATGGTGTGCCCATAGTGGGCAGGTGAAAGAGGCGACTTTCTCCGACAAGATAAAGACGGGTCATTGGAAGCAATGATTAACAGCCCAGAAGATGTGGCTAGAATCAAACAGCAGATACTAAACAATAGATGGATACTGTGACGCCCCGACATTTTAGCGGCAACGTGGTCGTCGGTCCAATAGTCGGCAAGCCGATACGGGGTCAATCAATGGATTCAAACGACTAGTTTCACAGACACGAGTCTTGTGTGTGATAAGTCACGATACGAAAGGTTTGTCATGGATATTGGTTTCATGCAAAACCCCTGGGCTGTAGGTAATGAGGGACAGGAGGTTTCGTGTTGGCAACTTTAT